GGAAGAGGAGGAGGAGAAGGAGAAGGAGGAGAAGAAGGAGGAGGAGAAAAAGGAGGAGAAGGAGCAGGAGAAGGAGAAGAAGAAGGAGAAGGAGAAGGAGAAGAAGGAAGAAGTGGAAGAGGAGGAGGAGGAGAGGAAGAGGAGGAGGAGGAGAGGAAGTGGAGGAGGAGAAGGAGAAGAAGAGGAAGTAGAAGAGGAGGAGGAGGAGGAGGAGGAGGAGAAGGAGAAGAAGGAGAAGGAGAAGGAGGAGGAGAAGAAGGAGAAGAAGAAGGAAGAAGAAGTGGAAGAGGAGGAGGAAGAGGAGGAGAAGGAGCAGGAGAAGAAGAAGAAGGAGAAGGAGAAAGAGAAGGAGAAGAAGAAGGAGAAGGAGGAGAAGAAGGAGAAGGAAGAAGTGGAAGAGGAGGAGGAGGAGGAGAAGGAGAAGAAGATTAAACTCTGAAAAGTTTCTCCTTCTTGTTCAGCAGTGGGCCATCTGGTGGATTTTATTAAGCTTACCTTGTGATAACTGAGGCTCATTGTTGCCTGTTTTGGCCATCTCAGGGCATGAGCGACGGCAGCATTATATAGCTAGCTTTTGAATCAGACAACAAAACAGTCCCTTGGAACTCAGCTTCTTCAGTCCTCTTTCATTTCCTTGGGAAAGACAAAAGTCCTACCATTCTCCGTCTTGTCCTGGGAGAAGTGCTTTATCTCAAAAGTTGTGCTCTCCTGCCTGATAGGAAAAAGAATCCATATGCACCTAAGTGCGCCCTCAAATAACCAATTCTGCAAACAACATAGGAAAACTATTGTCACATGGATCAAAAGTAGCTACTTTGTGAAACATAATTAAAAAGATAAGCCAGATTTACTGAGGACAGATCAACAGCTCTTATCTATGATGGCTCCATGGAATATCCATATTTGGAGAAGCACATCAGTGGATTCTAGATGCTGAGGGCAATAGCATAAATAAGTTGTTTCTTCATACTATGCTTGTGATAAGGCCATTTTAGAAATTATTACTAGATTGCCTTTGCCTTGATTTAACACAAGTCTACTTCTACACCAATGATGACGAAACTGTACTTTCAACTAAATTTCAAAGACCTCAGCGAGTAAGCGAATCACAAGCAAAGAATGTTTGCCTTTCTCACTGGATAGGAAACAAATGATATAGAGATGGGGGAGACGGAGGGGGATGGCGAATAACAAACAGAAAAGAGGAGAGAGAGGAGAGAAACTTCCACCTACATGTAATTCTTACTAAGGTGAATAAGGTTCACAAGATACAACTATTAATAGACTTTTCCCCATGAATATACAAAAGGGAAAATGTGAAAAAGGATCATCTTCATCCTATATATCAACAGCTCCTCACATCTTTTATTTTTGCATCTTCCTATGTCAACCCTCCCCTTTCAACATTTATCCACAGGCAAAAGCTGCTTATTCCCCTCCCCTGATCTTCTTTTCCAAAACTGTTACTTACCCTCATATAGTTATTTGCTCTATGTCAAACATTCCATGAGAACTTTATCCAAGGCGGGGAAGTTGTCCTTAAATTGTGTTTCACCTTCCCCACCCCCCCAAATATGGAAAGATATTCAGCTAATATACAACCGCATAGCAGGGTTTATGAAGGGGCACAGCAGCAGTTATTAAGAAGGGGGTACAGATGACCTAATTACTGCCTGGAGGTAAAAAAAAAAAAAGAGAAAAAAGCCTGAAAAAAGAAAGAGAAAGAAGAAATCAGCAAATTCCTTTATTGTACACCATAATATATGATTGTGTGAAGGGCATAAGGCAGTTTGACTAATACTTCGTTTTCAACATGTTGATACGGGTTTCCTCTTATATGTCCAACAGTATTAAAATAAAAAGTGAGTAACCTATGGCTCAAAGCCATATACAGAGCCTAAAACAGTTTTTTTTTTTTTTTGCAACCTCAGATCTCAATTATATTAATGAATTTTGTTTTCCTGCTCTTTCCCAAGGTGTGAAACCTATAAAAATTATTACTGAAGTCTAAAAGAAGTTAAAGAACATTTTTGAACAGCTAAAAATATCAACAATCCACTTACCCCATAGTCCTCCCTGCAAAAAGCCAGAATTCTGGCTAGCTATGACAAAGAAATTTGAGGAAACAAGTTCACCCAGAAAAAACCGTAAAAATCCTTGTACATCCTATCAATATATTTACTAATATATTCTTTTTATGTATTTATCAATAATATATGCTTTTGTTACCCTATCTTTGTGACAAACACCAATATAATCATACATCAACCAAATATTTAAAAAACCTAATTACAATTCCTGTTCTAAACGCTCTTTTAAAAACTGAGCTTTTCAGGGACTCCTGCTTTAAATCCTTAAGGCAGGTATTCATAGCTATGATGCCCAGAATTATTATCTTAACATACAATAGTCTCTGAATGAAGGCTGATGTAAAAAATTGTAACATTTGTGTAACTTTCAAAAGAGAGGTAACATTCTGAGATCTCCGAATTTTTAATGTAGTCTATTGTGTAAGGGTCACCCCCCCCCCCGCCTGCCCCTCCAATAAGCTCTCAAAGCAAACTTATCGGGAGGCCTGGCACCCCTCCAAGCTAACGATCTTCCACTCATTGGAAACTGACGTCTCCTCCCACTTGTAAATTGCCCTAGCGAACGGTTTGAAGCATTTGGTGTCACACCTCTTCCTTCGTCGCTGATCCTCTCCTGAAAGCAGGGCCAAGATTTCTCTTTCCCAAGTTCTCTGCCTCCCTCCCACCTCAACGAGTCGGAGGAGTGATCTGGGGATCCTCCCTGCTCAAAAGCCCCAAACCTTTCGACACCGCTCCAGTCTCGCTCAGAAAACCTTCCCTGACCGCACAGGATTTACCCCCGAGAAAACCAATATGGGACGACGGAGTTAACAGGATGCGAGCAGCTGAGATCTCTACCCGTCCTCTGAACTGGGGACTGCGGGGGAGTGAAGCTTTACTTCCCAGATTTGCCCCAGAGCCTGCGACGCAAGGAACCGGGAGCCCAGCCACTATAATCCCCATCCTCGCCCGGTGGATACCACGCGATGTCCCTCTCCCGCGTACAATACTTCGAGACCACTCTTTACCTTCTGTTGTCTCGGAGTCCCACCACTTGCCTAAACCAGTGAAAACACTTCTTTCGCATACAGAAGCAAAGCGTTTCCGGGAACCCTGAGCAGGCGTCACTTCCTTTCCAACGTGGGAAACCACCCCTTCTCTGGAGGGCGCGCCATCCTCTTCCTCTGCTCTACGTTTGCCGTCGCGCTACTAGCTGAATCGGGGGTGGGGGGGGGGAGTGTTGCACAACACCGAGCGGGGGTGGACCCGGGAAGGAGAAGAGCTCTTTGTGCTTCCAGAAAGGAGGGGGGGAGGTGTGTGTGTGGGGGGGGGAGTTGTGCAATTCGGACTCCATTTAGCCACATCACAAGACTCTGATTTGGCAGCCTCATTTATATCCACTTTGCTGAGTGGCAAGTGCGTGGATTTCACGCGCGCTACTTGAAGCAAGTTCCGTGGTGATGGTTCACTCTTCAACCACGGGGTGTATTTTTTGCGGGCTCCAGGTTGCTTTTCACAACGTCTTCACACAAAAACAATGCATTGATTAAAGTTCTCTTTTCCCTAAGAAGCAAACCTTGGATGTTCTATATAGAATCCAAACATTCTAAAGCCAAGTCAGATTGAATTTATTTTATTCTCATCGGTTATGTTATACAGTTATGCAAGTACAATTACAAACTTTATTTGGCCTTAGAATTACATCAAACAACCGCAGTGAGAGACGTCCACATAATTTGATATATAGTGAGTCTGACTTGTCTGGAATGGCAATCTTGTTAAAGTGCATCTTGATAAGTACAAGATGGCAGATAATTTATATATTCATCTGAATGCATAGGGAATATTTTAATAAAGGGAAGAAGCTTCCTTTGTCTCAAATCAGAATGAAATTCACAGTTTAAAAGAACATGTTCAATAGATAAGATTTCACTTGTCGCAACTGGGCATAAACCAGGGGTGGGATTCACATTTTTTAACAACAGGTTCTGTGGGCGTGGCTTAGTTGGTGGGCGTGGCTTGGTGGTCTTGTTATTGGCTGGGCATGGCCAACTCAATATCACATCGAGGCATGCATCTCCTCGCCTGGCCTCTCATGACTGTGGGGATGCTGCAACAGTCATAAGTGTGAAAAATGGTCATAAGTCATGTTTTTCAGTGTCATCGTAACTTTAAATGGTCACTCCACACAAGCAAAGTACCAGCAAAGGAGGGGGAAAAAACTCAAGAGAAGTTCCTGAGACAGGAAGTCTAGTCCTGCCAAGAATGTAATAAGGGTTAACGGAGAGGCAGTTTCTGTAAGTAACACCAGAATTTTTCCTTCCTGCCTTCCTTACAGGATTAGGCCAGTAATTTCTTCTAACAACCGGTTTTCCAAAGTGCTTAAAATGTTAACAACAGGTTCTAGCGAATAGGTGCAAACTGGTAGAATCCCACCCCTGGCATAAACTTTGTAATATGGGTGTTTTATTAAATATGCATTTTATAATTGTTTAGACTAATGTATATTATAACACAACTAAAAGGAATTTATGCAGCAATTGCTAGTGAATACAGGTAGTCCTTGATTTACAACAGTTTGTATAATGACTGTTCAAAATTATAGCAGTACTGAAAAATGTGTCTTATGACCATTTTTCAGTTACAACCTTTGCAGCATCCCCATGATCATGTGACCAAAATTTAGATATTTGGCAACTGGTTCATATTTATGACTGTTGCTGTATCCCAGGGTCACATGATTACCTTTTTGCGACCTTCTGACAAGTAAAAGTCAATGCGGAAGCCAAATTCACTAACAACTGGATTACTAATTTACCAAATGCATGATTCACTTAACAACTGTGACAAGAAAGGCTGTAAAATGGAGCAAAACTCAATTAACAAATGTCTCACTTAATAACAGAAATTTTGGGCTCAATTGTAGTTGTAAGTCAAGGAGTGCCTGTAGTTGAAAAGATAATAAACAAATCAATAGACTTAAACAGGACAAGATTTTTGTTGATGTCTATGGAGATTCTCAATATTTTAGGTCATGACTGTCCCGCAGGTGCTTTTCAAAAGGCATCTGGGCTTTTTTTCCCCTTCAAAACATTTCGCTCCTCATCCAAGAAGCTTCTCAGTGCAACAATTTGCCTCCAAAACTTGTGGGTGCTCCAACACTGGGTATTTTAAGAAGAGATTGGACAACCATTTGTTTGAAATGGTGTAGGGTTTCCTGCTTGAGCAAGGAGTTGGACTAGAAGATCTCCAAGGTCCCTTCCAAGTCTGTTATTCCTTTGAAAAGTACCTTTAGGGTTTTCGTTGATGTTGCTGCCATGGATGAAATGTAGCTTGTCTTTGTGCATTTTACTGAAGGGATGTGTTTAGAATGGGGACATTAATGTGGAATACTGTAAGCTATGGCTCTCTCAAAAATCAATACTCTCTCTTTTCCTCACTCTAAAATGGGTAAATTCTGATCAGGATTGCCCAAAGCAAGAAGGGTTTATTCAGAATCTCTGCTTTTGCTTAAGAGTTATTTATTTATTGCTAAAATTGGTTTCTTATTATTGAGTACACTAAAACTATAAGCTCTAAAAGCTATAAAGTATAATTCAACACTGGACTATCTTTAGGGCTATCCTTAATATTTTGAGGAACCCAAGATCTGCCTGAAAATGGCTCTGCATCTTATGTGGGAGTGGAGAGAAGCCTAGATATTTTTTATGCATGTTCTCTCTCTCTTCTAGATCTATTTTAGAACCGTGACTATAGTTTTCATTTGTTTCCTATGTTAGAATGGTAGGAAACTACCTTCAGTTTTTAGAACTCATGATCCATATTTTTTGTTTCTGATCATTTTGATCATTTTCTTTTCTCTGGACTGGTTTTAATTTTTCTGAGTACTTCCTGAAGTGAGGTGCACAGAACTGGATACAATGCTCACAATAGAATTCAACTTTGCATCATTAGCCTCTACAAAAATGTACATCCCCCTGTTAATCAAAATTTGGTCTCTTCTCATTTTATTCAGTGACAACTAATTTTACTGTCATTGGTGAGATATTTTGTCAAAAACATTCTGGTAATTTAAGATGTCAGCAGGTTAATAATTCCATTGCTGATTTCTTCCAAGAACTGCATTTTTATGGAGCTGATTAATAGTCTTTATCTCTATATCCTAGATAAAGTTGAAGCTGCATGTAATTACCAATATTACCAATTACCAATATTCCCTTCCACTTGTTTTCTCTAAGCATTGTGTGTTACATATCATCTCGGTCAAAGTTGCTGTGGTATTACACTGTTCAGATAATATCCATCACTTTCTCAGTCAACTTGAATATAAAGTTATCTTTATTGAAAATTTTAAAAAATACATTATTTACAACACTGAGACATTATTTGACATCTCATCTCAGGTTTTATCTAGATAAACATAAAATGGAATATCGTAATGGCTGCAACTTTAAAAGATATCAAGGGCATTGGACAAATACAAACCTAAAGATCTGCAAAGTCCTGAAGACGTGGCTTTGTGCTTACAATCCTGCAGCCTATGTGCAATGAAGCCATTTCCTGTTTACACTGAATGATAATTATTGCTTTTATAATTTTCTCAGCTGCTATACATTTTATATTTTTTGTATATGTTAGCTTATCATTTCATCATTTTTTAATGTTGTTAGCCATTCAGGGTCATATATTTTAAATAGGCAGCCATATAAATATGGGAAATAAATAATTGCATAAAATAGTTCCAGGATTCATAGGAATTATAAGAGAAGTTCTCTTATGATTAATACTGCAAGAGCTTGGGCTTGGTGGCATACTTTTATTTTTATTTGATTTGTCAATCGCTTACAAGATAATAGGTATAAGTATATACATAGTTATGAATACATGAAATGGGTACATATAAGAAAAATAAAAGAAACAATAGGACAGGGACCGTAGGCACATTGATGCACTTATGCATGCCCCCTACAGACCACTTAGGAAAGGGGTGAGGTCAATAGAAGACAGTTTAAGGTTAACATTTTTGAGGTTTGGGGAAGAAACCACAGAGTCAGGTAGAGTATTCCAGACATTGACCACTCTGTTGCCAGGTAGGACATTGCAATGTATGATTTTATATACCATACTTAGATCAGACTGAAGATGGCGTAATTCAAGGTTTTCTAGGTCTAAAATTTCAAGTCTGGTGGCATAAGGTATTCTACAATGAGTAGAGGAGTGGAGAACTCTTCTTGTGAAATATTTCTGGACTTTCTCAACTGTGCTAATATCAGATACATAATGTGGGTTCCAGACTGATGAGCTGTATTCAAGTATTGGTCTAGCAAATATTTTGTATGCTCTAGTTAGTAGTGTGATATTACCAGATAAAAAGCTACATAGGATTAGGTTAACAACTCTTAATGCCTTTTTGGCTATGTAGTTACAGTGGGCTCTAGCACTTAGATCATTAGAGATGAGTATTCCAAGGTCCTTTACAGAGCTTGGATCATCAAGGTCTTGACTATTCAGCTTGTATTATATTTTCTGATTTTTTTTGCCAATATGTAAGACAGAGCATTTATTTGTTGAGATTTGAAGCTGCCATTTGTTTGACCATTCTGATACATAGTCAAGATCTTTTTGAAGGGTAGCAGTATTGTCTGTGGTATTGAACAGCTTTACATCATCAACGAAGAGAACGCAGTTGCTCTTAATATGATCACAGAGGTCATTTATGTAGAGTATGAAGAGAGTTGGTCCTAGAACACTGCCTTGGGGGGACACCACTATTGACAGGTACAGAATTTGATAGGACACTCCCAATTTTGACCATTTGTGGTCTATTTGAAAGGTATGCTTCTATCCAGTTATGCAGTTGTCCAAAGATACCATAAGATTTTAGTTATAGGAATAGTTTGTCGTGTACCACTGAATCAAAGGCTTTACAGAAGTCTATGTAGATTGTGTCTATTGCTTTGCCCTGATCGAGTTGTGTAGTCCATATGTTTTTGCAGTGTAAGAGTTGCAGATTACAGGATAGTTTTTTTCTGAAACCAAATTGTTTGTTAGAGAGTAGGTTGTTTGTCTCTAAGTGGAGGATAATGGATTGGTTAATAATTGATTCCATGACTTTACAGGTGGAAGTGGAATCCAAAGTGTGGTTCTTATAGGGCTGTGCTGCTCAATCCTAACATCATTCAGAAAAGCATAATCTATCTTTTTAAAAATTGGTATTCTATACCTGAGAAATATTTATTCTTTCTTTGAAATCAGGCTGATGAGTGACGGAGTTGTAAGATTGTTTGTGTCTTCCATGATGCAGTAGGAGAGTTTCTCAGCTACGGCAGCTTGAAGATATGTGTACTTCAACTCCCAAAATTGAAATCTGCACTTCTTCAGATTGCGAAGGATGAGAAACACTGCAAGAGAGCATTCATTATAGTAGTGGCTTAAAAAAACAAGGCTAGATAAAAATAAATCTTAGCTGGGCATGAAGTTCCCTGGATGGGCCCTGTTAGTCAGTTGTATGCTCTATCTCAAATGCATCTCATAACAACAAAAAATAAAAAATGATCAGAGTACAGCCAAAGATTCCCTTTCCTCCTTATAGAAAAAAGGTCAAAATTAATATAACATACTATTTTTAGTCTACAATACCCTTCAATTACACATTCCACATACTTCCAACTCACTTAACAGAAGGTATATTTTCCATTGTGCCACATCAGCCTTTATATTTAACCAGCAGGTCCCATCTGATAGACATCTTCAATACATTTATTTATCTTCCTGATATGTGATTTGTTTAAAATTTTCCCTGATTGCTTTATTCTAAACATGATTCCAGCTTTGACCATTACAATAGCGACTCAGTTCTCAAGGGGCTATCAGTGGGTGGCGGGGCGGGGGACGGGGACGACGACTAAGGGATACAGAGCAGATGGTCTGCATGCATCCTTGGCTGCAGCCGTGTACGAGGCAGACCCCAGGGCCTTATTCTAGCTTCTTTTCCCGGAAGATCGAAGAATGAAAGTTTCAGGAAACTGCAACTTAGCGGCGGAGAATGATGGGCGCATGCGCAGACCGGTAGGGCAAACTTTAAGAGGAAGTTTGAAGGAGATGGAGAACGTTTCGTGCTGAGTAGGTAGAAATTTTTTCTGCGCTAGTGCTTGTGGGTTAAATCTATTCTTCGTCCATCCTAAAACGGAGTTCTTTATCTCAAAATAGGGTGGGAAAGGGCAAAGAGTGGGAGAAGAGATTCGGGCCAAAATAGGGTGGGAAAGGGCAAAGAGTGGGAGAAGAGATTCGGGCCGAGAGAGGCAATGAATGAGCCGCGGGAGAAGAAGCTAGAAATGCAGGTTTCACCCTGTCTGGTCTTCTCTAGAAATCCCGCTGGACTCATTTAAATTTGCCTCTTTTTAGAGGTTGCGTTTAAAGTTGTATTTCAGTTTTAGACTGAGTTGAGGATCTGAAAGTCAACCGAAAGACCTGATAAGAAAATACTACTTTCGGGTATTGTAAGTATAATTTATTGCTGCGGTTTTGAGAGAGGAATTATGATGGCAGGGTTGAATTGTAAAGGGGGTTTTAAGAAACAGATGAAAGAGGCAGAAGAAGCTATATATTGGCTACTAGAGCAGTGTTTCTCAACCGGGGCAATTTTAACGTACAAAGAATGGACTTCAACTGCCAGAATTGTTGTGTATAGACTTCAACTCCCAGAATTCCCCAGCCAGCATGGGGATCTTAAAGTTGCCAAGGTTGAGAAACATTGGGTTAAATGGTTGGACTGGAGAGGCCTAGGTCCCAATCTCCATTTGATCACAAAACTGACTGTTTGATATTTTGATGTAGTTTACTTCCCATGAAAACTGTGAAGATAAACAAAATTACATAGCCCCAAATTATGCTTCCTACTGCACCTTGGAGAACAGGAAATAAATACAAATCCTAAAAGAAGAATATCATATGTGGAACAAGGAAGTGTTTTTTCCCCTATTACTCTATTGAAAGTGATGCAGTGTTGTTGCCCGAGTATGTATGCTTGTGTTTGTTTGGCACAAGCAATGATCCTAAGCATGATTTGATTCTGCATCCCACAGGATGGATGAATAGATACCTTCGATTTCAGGCAGGCAGCTAAATAAGGTTCTTGCAAATTCAGGAGAGAACGGGAATGTGACCATGGTTAAGATCTGTCCAGGGAAACAGTGAGAAAGCAGGTGCAAGAGATGATGAAAAAAAGGCAGCTGGCAGAATAAAACTAATACAGTATTTTCTGTGGGTTTGTCTCCCTTTTCCTTTCAGGGGTGATGGTAGTTGGATGAAGAAAGAACTCTTCCCTGCTTTGAAGCGCCAGCCCACCCTTGCATAATTCCAAGCTCATGGCTGGAAGTCCAGTGCCCCGTAGGAGGAAGGTGGTTGAAGAGACGCGGCTGGTGTTGGAAGCATTCTTGCAAGGGGCATTAAACAGCGGAGAGGATGGGGTCCCAGGTCATGTGGGCCGTGGCTATCATGACCCCCAAAGTTACATGTCCAGGTAATGACTTTGCAGTTAAAGATTTGGTTTACCTGTAAAGGAAGGAAATAAACAGTGTTTCTCAACTTTGGCAATGGGACGAAGTGTGGACTTCAACTCTCAGAATTCTCCAACCAGCAGGGGAATTCTGAGGAAGCCTACATATTGTCAAGCTGCCAAGGTTGAGAAATGCTGAAATAGTGGGATTTGAGCAGAAATCCAATAATCTATAGATGGCAAGGGCTTCTATAGTATTGAAACTTGAAATCCAGACTTGGATTTTATGGGATTAATCTTCTGGCCTAATAGAAAGGCTTTTGATTTTAGTAGAAATTTGAAAACTGAGAGACAAGAAGCTTAAATAATTTGACCAGAAGTGCTGTGATAGTCAGGATTTATTTTTTTTGAAACACTTCTTCCAGTATCTCCACCCTGACATACAAAATACCAGTTTGAGACTCATTTTCTCCAGAACACTATTACCATGTCCATTTCATTAACCCATCCTTTTAATATTATATAGCTAAAGTTTTTCTCCCTACCTCAAATATTTAACCTTTCTGACTTCATTTTTTAAAATAATTTCCCCAACCCTTTACCATATGTGTTGTTCTGCTGCTCCTCAGAAACCATTTTATTACTTTCAGTTTCATGAGATCAAATGGATTTGCTGCTCTGAGATGCCTCTTACAGAATAAGAGAAGAAATATTTGCAAATTAAAAAAATGACAGAAATCAACCAAGGAGGTTGAGGAGTAGAACAACAGACTATGCTTCCCATTTTCAGTGTGCTTTCTTCTGTCCACAGGTCTCCTGTAGAACATTTTCCAGAGTGTCCTGCCTGTAGCCCTGTCCATGAAGGAAGTAACTCTGTGGAAGGGAAAAAACATGGCTTCCGCGCCAGCATTAAACACCTGTTGCAGAAGCGGTCCAGTTCTCTAGGACACTCAGATAATCTTCCCTCCCCTGGAGACTCTTTAAAGAAATCTAAGTCAGGACCTGAAGGGACCCACCGCAAGCACCACTTCTCCTTCAAGGGCCTTCTGAAGAAGAAGACTGCTTCAGTAGAGATAACTGACTCCAATGCTCTCCCCAAGCGGCCTGACACTTTACCTGTCATAACCTGCTATTGTAAAAAGCAGGCAGCTGAGCCAGAAGAGGCCCAAACAACAGGCAGTATGAAGCTTTGCTCCTTACTCTGTTTTCTTCTTCTTTCTTAATTGTAATGCTCAGACCTTGCTTGGAAAGATGGATGGAAACATATCTTGGCTTGTTGGAGGAAGAATAAGATAAAATTATGTTTTATCTTTCCAATGTTCATTTTGAACAAAGATTTGAGTCTGGGCTTATATTTGCTCATTTTTAATATATTTTCAACTTTCTTGAAGTAATGGGAACTTCCTGACTCCAGGCAGGATGCAGCCCTCAAGATCTTTTTATTAGCCTACTCAGACCAAGGTAGAAATCCCTCCCACTTTCCATAACCTATTTGAAAGCCAGTTCAGATCATTCCATAGTTCGCTGCATGTACTCAAGGATCATCTTATTCTTGGCACCCAGAGGAACAAGACGTTACCTGTTTATAAGGCCTGCTTGGCAAATCATTGACTTCTCCAAATAGCGAATTCAAAAAGTCTGTTAGCAAATAAATTTGAAAGCAATTTCTATTGCTATTTTGAGGGATTCCATTGCTAGGCTATAACTATGGTTGGTAATTGACTTCAGGAACTTTTTTTTAATGCTGTCCTGTCTTTTTCACAGAGATCAAGGACATTTTTTGCTGGCTTCCCCTTAGCTAGACAGATTGTAGGCCTCCTGTGGTTGAGGTCAATTGAAATTAGACAATAGGTAGCAGAATTTAGGAAAATGATATACTTTTTTTTCCACAGAATGACACAGAAAAAAAAGTTTTAAGTTTTTGGATTGGTTTAAGAATAGTAATTCCTCCACCAATCCTAACATTTGAAGTATTGTCCCCATGTCCTATTGCCCATCACTGAGCTAGAAAAATTGAGAAATACTGTAGTCTTTGATATACAACCATTTGCTTTATGATTTAAAGTTACCGTGGCACTGAAAAAAGTGACATGACCAGTTTTCACATTTATGACATCCCCCGCAAACATGCTCAAACTCTGGGAGCTTGGCAATCGATGGTTGCAGCATCCTGAGTTCATGGGATAGTCATTTGCAACCTTAGGGAGCTTCTGACAAATTAAGTCAATGGAGAAAGTCAGATTCGCTCAATAACTTTAGTGGTTTGCTTAAGATTGTAAAATGAGTCATGACTCACTTAACTATCTCACTTAACGGAAATTGTGAATTAGGTTGTGGTTGTAAGTCAAGGATTGCCTATAAATAAACTGTACAACCTCAAGCAGTCTAAAAATCTTTAAAATACCCAATTCTTGTAGTAAAGCAAGATTGGATAGGTGCTAAATATGGATATTTCAGGAAAACTTGAGCTGCAAATAATTTTGTCTGTAGGCGAACAACAAAAAACAATTTGGATATACTCCCTAAATTAATGGAAAACATGCAATATTTTTTGCTAGAAGAAATTAATTATTGGATTAAGGAAGTTATACTTAAGAAATCTTGTCCCTCAATTTCAAGTATACCCTTTCTATCTCTACCTCCTATCGCTTTCTTGGTGAAGCTCATACTTGGCAATATTAATAATTTATTGGGCAAATCTGAAGTCATTCAAAAATTCAGACTGTTATATCTCCCCTTGACAATATTCATTTAATTTGCTTTTTTTAATCACTAGAACTGATAAACCATGATGTACAAATAACATTCCACTCCAATATTAACATATTCTTACAGTCACTTCCCACCTTAAGTATACTTTTATAATATGATATTCTGTATTCAGGACAAAGTGTTGAAATAAACATTTATTTGTTAAGATTTAGAACTCAGGCCCATTCAAGAGCTCAAAATAATATATAAGCACATCTTCCTCCTATATTTTTTCCCAACAGCAGTCCTATGAAATAGGTTGGGTTGAGAGAGAATGATTGTTCCAAAATCATCCAGGCAGCTTCTATGGTTAAGGGAAATTTGAACTGAACCTTTCCGTTACTAGTCCAAGTCCTTTAAAAAGCAGTGCGACCTAATACCTCTTTATATAATCAAAAATATAGGCTGAGTTTCCTTTTCCATGCTACTCTATATCAGAAATTTAATTATGATATTGTAATAAGTAAATTCAAAGCTGCTTGAAACACTTCACCCCGTAGCATTCAACAAGGTATCATTTTCAATATATTATATTTATTATGGCATTTGTTTAGTCACATCTCTCATTGTGACTTGCATTTGCCTTTCTTCCAATTCTTTATTTTCCTCAAAATCCATTGCTTTCTGAAGAGAATTCAAAATCTCTGATATTTAAAAGTGAAAATCACCTCTTCCAAATTATCCCCACTAAATGGAATCTTGTTTGTCAGGAAAAAAAAATACTCTTTTCTCTTAGAGAATTCTAATTCTAATTGGAATGACTTTAAGTACAATTATTTCTGTATTATTAATTTTTCAATCTGTGGTTAAAATGCTGCTACAAAACTGGATCTGTCTTCATGACAAAGTATAGAAGAACGTCATTTCCCAAATATTACATAGTTATTGGATAGATGATCAAGTTATCTATCAAATCAAGCCTCAGCAGATCACAACACTTAGGTGGTTTAGTTGATCTCAAAACACTAAGTAGGAATAGACCTGCTTAATTCTTGATAGCAGCCTATTAGAATATTTCAAGTAAAATGGGAAATAAAAAAGATCCTATAAGAAAGCAATGGCAAAAACTTCTATATTGCTCTATCAAAACTATACAGACTTGTTCAGATATTAGTAGGAATTGGACTTGATTTGATGGAATCTGTACTTTTATCATGTTAGTATGGTACCATATTCACCTTTTAGTCTTTTTGCTGTTCACTTGTTTCTGTAACCTCCATGATATACGATTTGATTTTTTTTTGTGCACCTTGCTTTAATAACTTTCCACTCTTTTTTTCCCAGATGGTGAAGCTGAGGATGCTGAGTTTTATACTTTGGTGGCTCAGAAACTAGATTACTTTGTGAAACACCAACAACGGATCAGCCCCATAGCTGCAAAAAGCTCAGTTTCTCCCAAAGATCCAAACATTACAATTTCCACAGATACAATCTCTGACAATTCAGGTATTACATTGATTTTCTTGTGTGTTTAAGCTGCCTCATCCAAAAACTCTGGGTTTATAACAGTGATAACACAGAAACCCTTTCTTGATCTTTGAATCGGGTATCTCAGTGTTTTCTGTACTGCATTGCCACCTTCCTGTTTTGTTGAGACTTTAATTTCTCAACATTCCAGCCAACTTTTGGCCAATACGTGTGGAAAGCACCAGATTAGAGAAGTATGTTTTGGATTAAATCATGGGGAAAGAAAGATGACTCTGAGTTTAAAACAATCTCTTCACCTGAAAAATAAAGCTTAGATGAAACAATTCATCTCCTTTTACAGCAATCTTACAAATCTAAATAGATTCCTCCATTTTAAATTAAACTTAATTTAATTTAATTCTATTTATCTAAATTTGGGGGGGAAACTAGCCTTCCTTTGAAGAATAGGTAGCCATAGGACGATGGGGATCAAATGATGACAAGTAAATCTTGAAATCATCACAAACTGATATATTTTCCTCAGATCTTAAGATGCCTCTGACAAATTATATAATATTTATGCAATGACTTTACAACACACATGCTGTCATTTTGACAACTATGTGGCTTAAAACTGATGACTGCTCTTTCAGGGAAATACTGTTTATATTTTGGAATCACAATAATATGCTTTACTCAGTTGCCTTGGAAAAAGTGCCAGAACAATCTGATGAGAAACAGAAAGAACAAATCCTTCAGAAGTTGGTTGCCCTTCTGGAAGAACAGGCTGCTGTCTTCAATAAAAAGGTACACATGCAATAAAGAGTTACCGCATAAAGTATTCACATTCAAAGTGCAGAGCCAGGCACTGGATGTATTGTGGCTGCTGTGTGTAATTTTACACAATGTTGAGTTGCTTTGCCAAATATATTCTTCCTTTTTTTTCTGAGTATGTTTTGTAAATCTTGGATTTTCCCTGTCTTCAAATAAGTCCCTGTTGTCTTTGATATTTCTGTTTTGACTGCATATATTTTTTATTATTTGTTTATAAAATTTATAGCTCCCCCATTTTACCTCAAAGTAACTAGGCAGCTTTTTGGGACGTAAGGTTCCATACACAAGTCATATGTTTTGTGTGATATTATAAAGTTAACAAGTATGTATAAAATCTACCCATTTGTTTTTCTCTGTTTTGTTTGTGGAATGGGTTTCTTTTTGGGCTGTGTAATTTAGATTTGATAGGGAAGGTATGCTTCAGAGTAAGTAGGGATGAGAATACAGCATCTGTCTGCAACTCATTGCAGCAATCGTAGAATACAGATACAGAGACTTTATTGAGTCTCAGACTTCATATATTTTTACATGTTCCAAAGCATTATTTTTTTTAATCAAATCTGTAAAATTGCAAAACTCTAATCGTTATTTAGGGATCTATTCTGAAAACAGTACAATTTAGTATAGTTGCACTAAACCGATCATTTTCCCTACTGTTCTCTCTCTGAATGCTCAGCTTTGTTTTTTAGATCTTCCATTAACTAGTTGAATGTAGCCATGTTAATTTATTTGTTCAATTAATCATTTTTTTCTGTACTTTTCATGACTACAGTCATCTCAAGATGGGAAAATAAAAAATAAAAATGCAGTCAATTCAAGTCAATTATAAAATGTATAGAAATAATTAAGAATGAGAGAATTAACAGAACAATACATGTAAAACTTTAAAAAGAAAATAGCATTTGTGATAAAAAGCAGTAACTATAATAAAAGTCTTTCCATAAGATAGCTTACTTCTTAGTCCAGAATTTCAGAATATAGGGCAACTTTGGTAATCTGTTGCTTTAGGATGGGGATGGGCTTGATATAATCTGTTTCTCAATCATTTAGAGGGTCTGGTACTTATAAATAAATTAAAGTTTTAGAGTATTTAATAAAACAGTATATGAACAGATAACATGAGTATAAATGGCTTCAATTTAAATAATCAAAATATCATGCTTATTTATAGATTGACTCTTTTTCTTGATATTTATCAGTACTTCATATGTAAACTTTTCTCTAACTTCTTTTTTCACTTTTTGCTTTTGTTAAATGAGTTTTTCCTGTCCCGCTGACTACTACCAACCTGTCATTGCTTCTCTCTTGTAGTTCATATAGCCCCCTGCTCGACTTGCCTAATAAAGAAATGCCCAGTTAAGTGTTTATTTGCCTTACACTCAAGCAACAATATCATTTTATCACATCCACAAACTGTATAACTCTTAATAAACCAGCAAATAGGGCACTTGAACTGAACTTCTTTGTTTTGGGGGGTTTGTAGTTTTGCAAGAGACATGGTTTTATATAGCCTTTTCTCATCATTTTTAATAGTTGCATTATTTCCCCCAAAGGACCATAGAAGCAGCTAATTCAGAATTGGTTTTATAGACCTTTGCTGGAGCTACTGCAAATTCAAAGTTGCAAATCCCTTAGGAATACTTCAGTGTTCAAAGCATTTAGGTAAAAAGTTACTAGACCTGAATTGCATATGTAAAACAAATATTTATATTTGTAATGGTATTGATCAAGTATGTAATTGTGGAATCTTATGTTTTCTTCATCTCAAGTACACAAAGGTGTATCTTCATATAAATAAAGATTCCCCAAACATAGGCTGATTAATTTTGGGATGAGTAACTCTCTGAGAATGTTTATATACCACCTGAATTCTGAAACATTATAAAAGCAGAATATAATTGAAAATAGTAGGATTTATTGTATGCATGCTACCCAAATTCATTCTTTTCACGGATACACTCATGGTTTTTTTTTTAATTTGTGAAGCCATATTTTCATACTCTCCAAGAAAGGAAAAAGTATGTTAATCAAAGGGAAAAAAACAGGATTTCATTCCTGGACTAGATTTTGATTTTTTAAAATGATGACTCTTTGTTAAGTACATATTACTTAATGAGTATGCTCTTGAGTTCCATAAACTTTCTAAGGAATAGCTTCCAAATGAAAGAAGAACAGTAGTAAAATGTTCCTAAGAGTAGGGAGTTGCCTAGTCCCACACAGGTACCTCAAGCAAATAGCTGTCCAGCCTTTATTTTTTTCACCTCTACAAAAGGAGACTCCAACTCATGTCTCTATTGTCTATAAGAAAATGTTCCTATTGTTTTGTCTGTTCCTTTGCCATTGACACTCATTCTACTCCTATCAGCAAAAGAAAATAACTACATCTTTGATGCAACAACATTTCACATATTTGAATGCTGCTATTAGGTTTCCTCTCAGCCTTCCATCTCAGAAGTTCCTTGTCTGGGAGACAGTGAATCATCTCTTTTTAACTGCTTCCTTTAACATTTACAATCTTGCCATTCATGTCATTTTCTTTCATTGGCAGATTGAAGCTGACCCACTGCTACGCAACACTATCTCCCGTCTCTCATACCGCAGTTTTACACACCTGGCTGAAGCCTTTACATCACGTACCCCACCTGGGGTCTCTAACCCTGAACTAGCCAAGCTAGCCCTTACCATGGAACTCACAAGGAAAGTGGCCGGCATCAACAGCCATGCAGTACATACCCTCATGGGCTACAGTTTGCAGTATATGGATATGTTCATACCTTGGCTGCAGCAGCAAGGTGGCTGGGTATGTGGAGAAATATCTGTTTCCTTGGGTTTTACTTATGCTAGGCCAGATCACAAAAATCCCCCCCCCCCCCCAAAATGAAACAGAGAGAGAAAAAATCCTGATTATTTTGCTCAAAATATAATTAAGGTGACGAGGTTCTGATTAAATACTTTGGGAAAAAACCAGACATCTCTTCTGTGAATTGTCTGCTTTTGAGGGTTACAAAATTGGAATAAGACACCTTATTTAGCTGAATATATTGTCTAAAAGTTGCAACTAAGAGCTCATACCATAAGCATCTCAGTTCTATATTAGAAAATAACCTGTATTATATGCATAATATATAATATATAGTATATGATCTTGTGTTCTCTACCCTGCATTATCAAGTACAATTGTGTTGCAGTTGGCAGCTGACAATTTATTTTTTCTTACAAAAAAAAGTTAATTATTATAAGTTTACTATAGCAGGAGTGTTAAACTGGATTTTTCGAGGGTTAGATCAGCATTGTAGTTGTCCTCTGCAGGGAGGGGGGAGAGACTGGACAGACGTCTCCTGCAGCATCCTGCTGGTCAAAAGCACCCCATTTTTGGCTTGGGTGGCCTCCTGCAGTACTCTGCTGGCCAAAATGGGGTGCGGGAGGGCTCATGCGGCCACCCCACACCCCATTTTGGCTGCCAGAGGCACCAGGGGCTGGTCCTTTGCTATTTCCAGGCTGGCACTGTGGGCCAGATTTAAGCACCCTGAGGGTTGGATCCAGCCCACAGCCTTGAGTTTGACACCCCTGTACTACAGGGATATTTTCTTGTGGTCAAGGGACTGCATTTTTGATCTCCCAATGGAATAATAGTGATATAATAGTATTGATGCAATGGGCCATTTTTTTGTCTTCTAAAATCAGAGGGTTTCCCATACTATATGTCACAATTCTGTTTGTTGTCAAAGTTGGAGCATAACACAATGGAAAAGGAAGAAAGGAAGGGAGAGTGGTGGGGGGGAGAAAGAGAGGGAAAGAAAGAAAGAAGAAAGAAAGAAAGAAAGAAAGAAAGAAAGAAAGAAAGAAAGAAAG